AAGGAGAAAAGGGAAAGAAAAGGGAAAAAATTAAAAAATTAAAAAATTAAAAAAAAACCCAACACATAAAAGGTTCACACACAAGACAAAAATCGTACTTGAATTTAAGAATGCCTTACTAAATTATTGATACCATATTTGTCTAAATAAAATGTGAAACTGTTACTTAAGCAAATATATTTTTACTGATTTTCCTGGTTATTTCTCAGTTATAAAGATTTTTTTTTTCTTTTTAGATTTTGAGGTCTGAATGGCAAGTATGATTTGAAACAACACACAACTGGCTGATGGCAACAGGTAATTTATAACTTCACCATTTCTTTCACAAGAATTAACAATGTAGTGAGAAACAGAATTTAGGAAGCTGTTTTGGTTTGTATTTTAGTAGTGAGCATTTCAGCAGTAGAGGTCAAGCAAAACATATCTTTTCCCATAGCAAGAACTTTCCGAGGCTTATGAAATGGAAAATTATGGCGAAAGGCTTTTTTTTAAAAAAAACTATTCTTTTAAAGAATAACAAGAGAAATTGAAATAACATGCAGACAACTGAACTGGAAGAGGAGTGCAGTTTAAAAGGACTGGAATGCAGTTTAAAACATCTTCCTTGGTTGTTTTTAAAATGTGGAATCACTGACAGTAATGTGTTTTGTAAGTTATGCAACTAAACAAGCTTTTATTTACTAGGTTACCCACTTTTGAAATTACTGAGATGATTAGCATATACATTTAACAGCTGACATCTTAGGAGAAAAAAAACATCCCATGCAGTATCAATACCCGTGGCTACACTAGCATCAATTTGAAATCACAAGAAATTTTAATATGAGAAAAGTCCATTTAAAGAGTGGTTTGAACGGTGATAACTTCCAAAACCTGGGGTAATCTTTAATTACTGGAAAGAGAGGAAATTTAGAAGCTTAGGTAAAAATAATTAACTGTCCTCTTCTTTTAACCGTAGTCCTACAAAAATTCAGGAACCCTGGGGTGTTTAATCCAGAGGTGCTTTCCTTTTACATATTTATAGATGAAGGAATCATTAAAGTGATTTAGGATACCACTAATGGTGTTAGTTTATTGACCAACACTTGGCTTAGTAATGCCACCTGTTCTGACTTATTTAATTAAAAAACAACGAACAGAAAACATACAGCTAAAAGAAAAATCTTTGCATTTCTAACAGATAGAAAACTGAAAAAGCAAAAACTATGTTCATAGGCAAAAATACAGCAAAGGCTACAAGGCAATCAGTTAGTATCTTTTTTTGTTTCTGTGGACGGTTCAGACTACCAAAGTTGGAATCAGTTGTGGGAGCACTTCACGTGGCTTGCTTTAAATGGGGTACCACAGCATTGCTTTACCTGTTCAACCAATAGGATCTTGGGCTTTCCTTGCTCCTGCAATTTCAGTGCACAGAATCCTACATGCACAAAAATCAAGCCAAGCAACTCAAGACAAAGAAGAAATATTTGCAAGTGCCTGCCTATTTCTTGCCCTCTAAGCAAAGCGGTGAATTTGTGTAGCTTTAGTAGGATTTTATGGTGCTGCATTTGTGGTAGTTGTGGTGAGATTAGAACCATGTCCAGTGCCATCTCCACACTCCGGCATAAAAATGCTGTGGTGTCCTAGCAGGGCTGGCTTGTGCTGCCATCGCTGTCAGCAGAAACAGAACGAGTCCCTTGTCTGGACTCTTGAAGCCCAGTGGCTTCTCTGGCCCTTAGCACCATGGGGAACCAAAATGTAACTCTCCCAAAACCAGATTTTATTCTAATGCACACTCATTATTAACAACCTGATAATAAAATAAACATGCAAACACCCTTACCACCCTAAAATGGATATTTCCTATATAACGTGACTGTGTTATCATGAGGAATGTAAGCTAAATTTAAATCTTCTTTCCCTAAACAATATTAACCTCCTTTCCAGTCAGCCACATTTCAAATTGTTTTGTTGTTTATGTTGCTTTCTGCTTCTGAGCACCTTCATTGTGTTTCCAGGAATAATTGAGTGACAACTAATTACAGTCTTCTGATCACATGAAGGAAAATAAAGAAAGTAGAAAGTAACTAAAAAGCTAAAAAAAATTGGCAGCATCACAAGTTCTGCTTCTCCCTAAATGACTTCCCCACTGTGTTACTAAAAATCTATAGATCATCTCACAGACAAACAAAAAATAAATTCCTTGCATATGCAATATCTTGGCAAAAATGAATTGAAAACCGCTTATCAGACCAGCTGGATAGAGGATGCCCACACAACCTTCTAACCGGCTTGATCAGACCAAAGTATTTTTCAGCAACAGCAGTCAAACGAGAACACTATGCTTCAAGGAAAAACAATGATACATCGAGTGAGGAAAACTAATGCAGAGATCAGCGTCGCCTTGTCATTTGGCTAAGGACACACAGAGAGGGACTAACAAACACCATATGCTTTACCTGACCGGGCGTGATGCCCTATAGCTGAACCGCAGGCAATAAACACGAATTTGCACGTGTGGCAGCCATTCAGACAAAACCGAGATGGCCCTCTCTAGGAGTTTCTTTACCTTTTGTAAAGTTACACCTGAAGGAAGGGTAGAGCAGCCCAGCTCCCTGTGTTACCGACCGCTCTGAGAGCACCTCTGTGAGCGCAGCACTGTTGCAGGGACTTGTGCGGCACGAACAACATTTAGCACAGACCACAGGTTAGGAGAAAACCATCTCAGTGCAGCTAATAACTGGGCAGCTTTACTGCTAGCAGCAGCAACACCTGAGTGGAAGGATGGGCAGCTACCTTGTGCTCTCCCATTTTTCAGCTGTGCTGTTTTCACACGCCATGCAAATTTGAGCTGCCCAAACCCAGGTGCAAACACAGAATAGTAGCTATTTAAATTCCCATTTCTCCAGCACGCTAAAGAAATCAAGACTTTTCCCAAGCAGTGCAACAAAAAGAGCTGTATTTATCAGGCAGCTACAGTTCCCTGCCCATCACGCCTTGAACAGCTGTAGTGAGTGAGACGGTTTCTGACGGACAGCCAAGACGTGTAATCTGAATCACACCATCCCACTGCTTATTCAGTGCCGATAGCTGATGCTACCCTCATCTCGCTCACTGGCTTGCTTTTTTTTTAACGTTTTGACACTAGTCCTGAAAAGGAAGGATTTAAGTTAAACCCTTTTCAATAACGCAAATGTGTTTTTGCAATTAAAGCCACACAATTAGCATTGACAAGCTCAGGTCAGCAGAACACAGATTATGTCGTTCAAATGCTCTGCCACTCAGTCCCTCCAGCAAAAAGCTGCGGGAGAGGAGAAAAGGAAAAAAAAATCTCCACACATTATTTAACAACTTGTGCTCTGATGCACTGCACCACTTGTGGATTTGTAGAGAGTTTCATTTATTTATTTACTTAAAATCCCTTTGGCTCTAGCCTCCTTCTCCACTGCTTCTATTCCTTCAAGACAACAAAAACTATTTTTCAAGGCAGGAAGACTGGTAACATTTAACAGAATTAACTTCTCAGAAAAATCTTAAATTTGAAAAGGCTCAAAATCCTTGCCTTCAAACTGTTTCCTTTCATTCTTCCCCAATAAAAAAGTATTTGCTTAAGATCTCCCACACTCAGCCACTCATACTGCACAGACATAGAAATCACAAATTTCTCTGTCCATGCGATGACACAGTGATTCATTTTAATTGAATACTGATGGTTTTAAAGGTATAAACTGGGTGTGTGCACATGTACGGATCACAAAACCAGAAAGCGAAGTGTAGAAGCTGAAATAATTTCTCTCTTGATGATTTTTACTCAGCTGTACTTACTTCTGTTTTCTCAGAAATAGCTTGATTTCATTAATACAAACATTTGCACCTACAGATCTTTAATATTAACATGATGACTCCCTTCTCTCTGTAAACAGATAGAAACAACCACATATTCTAAAACTAAAACTGGCATCATAGCAAAATTTAAGCACACAAATCACTTTACCAGCATGATTGATGACCATCACGTAGTAAGTGCAGTGCCAATTTTGGACTTGAGATCTTGATCCTATTTTCTACATCATCTCTCACAAAAAAATCTATTTCATTGTCATAAATTGTGAACTCTGTGACTAAAGCTTCCTGTTTGTATCTAAGTGCCACATACATGTTTATGGCATCATTTAACTGACGCTAATACTTTAAAATTAATCAGCATGATCCGATTCAAATATTCCTGGGTCTGCATCACTCTATTGCTTTCAATGGTTAGGAGAGATAAGGACCCCGACCTTAGCAATAACATGTGATACAATGTGGTAGAATTTCATATGAAGTTGAGTTCAAGCAGATGTTTATATGTAGCTCTAAAAGACTGTATGTACATTTGTTTCCAGCTCAATGTGAAGTAAGCAACACTGGAAAACCTCAGGACAACAGCAACACGTTCTGTTGCCCTTCTGCAGGCAAAGTTCATTCCTTATGCAGGACAAGAGGATTCCCCGTAAGAGACTGGGAATTCCCAGCATGGAATTCCCAACTGAGGAAATTCATGTATCTTGCAACAGGGGGGGGGGAGGTGGAAAGGGAGAAAAAGAAAGTTAAATACCTATTCTGTGTCCCTTCTGCTTAGTAATATTTTCACTGATTCAGGGCAGAGAATTAACAATCCCCTCCTGCTAGCACTAAAAGCATATATATACTTAAGTATTCTTACATGCATGTATAGACGCATACAGGTTTTTTCCTCCTGCCAAGGCATTTGTGATATAAAAGCAATCTATTTTTTGAGTTTCAGCTGTGGACTTGTACCCAGCTGAAAATTTTCCTCTTAAAGCCAGCTTATTTTGAATTGTGCTTCCTTATTAGTTTTTATAATTCAAATGAAAAGCAGCACATATCCTTCAGCACACTTTATTCTATAGGTGATGTACATAAAAAAGCAACCTGTGACCTGTAGTTTCAGTTGCACCAAGGAGAAATTTGTGTGGAATATCTAATGAAAATGCAGATACATAGATCACATTTCTTACCGTGTCCCCAGGCTTGACAGAAACTGCCACCACTGCTCCAGGCATGGGAGATCTCAAAATGCTGGAGGTGTCCTCTGCTGCTTTCTCTGGCATGTACTTGCTCAGCTCAGCAGCAACCTTCGTCAGTATTTGTAATTTGTACTAAAGAATAGGAAGAGGAATGTTTTAGAAAACTGCACCTTGGTGAATTCCAGTCAATAATCTGCACTATTTTATGGCATGTTTTTATATAATACATCTGTTATCTGTTATTCACAGGAGTGTCTAAAAATCACTGTTTGAAATCTTTATTGAGAGTTTCATTTTCAGGATGTAGAAAGAAAAATATGTAACCCAAATCTGCAGCAATGAGCACATAAAAGGAAAGAATCCAGTAGTAGAGAAATGTCAGATTCATTTAAAAATTGAGGGTACAGAGGGGAGATACAAATTTTAAAAACAAATATCCTTATGCTTACTGCACATTATCTTTAGTGGATAAGGAATATTGAGGGATTCATTTCCAGTGCTGTACTGAATTGGAAATTGACCTTTTGGGAAAGTCTGCCAGATTTTCAAAGACATAATTGATTTTAAACATCATGTTTACTTTTTATCATGTATTTAATGTTTGAAATCAATTACTTGCTTAGATTTTGCAATTAAATCATATCAAACGATTTTGATTCCATTTTTTCATGCACTGGCAGAATGATGGAACATTGCGGTTGTACTGAATATATTTTATCTGTAATAAAAACTGTTCGGCAGCTGTTCTCTACCTTGAGAAAAAAAAAAAAATGTTTTTTCTAGTATGTTTTATAGCAATTAGAAATGGAAAAGAATAGGATGACCCTCAAGTGTCTGAGAGCATCCCTTTAAAGAAAACCTTTCTGAAAACAGGCGTGTGTGTATGTACACTAATTTCGGCTCCAGGGTTTTAGCTTTTAAAAACTTGTCACCACTTTGACAGATAATTCACTGCACTCGGATGGCCTTCACGTTTGTCCCAGTGCACCTGAACGCCAAAAGCCAGTAGATGGCAGCAGGTCTCTGCGTGAAACTCCCGCCTCGCCAAGGCCAACCCAGTGAAGACCAACACCACACTTCATCAATAATTTAAACAAAGGTTTTAATAATAAGCATTGGATGAACTGCATTTACAATTCAAATGCATATTTTGCTGATGTAAAGTTCAACACCTTGCTTTGAACAGTATGTTTTCCTCCAAAACAATTAGCTACTGTTTTATTAGCAATAAAACGTCTTTACTTTTCCTTTTTACACAGACAGAAAAAATCCGATATCCTTATGGTGAAGGTAAAGGGGGACTCTACCTTCTGCTTCTGTAGAGAGTAGAACAAGGTATTTAGAAATACATGCAAAAGGCAATTAACTCTGCAATGACATCTTTAAAAAGCAGCTTTCAAAGCCAGATTAAAACAACATAACAGAGGATTATCATTCCCCATAACTGGGGTTTGGACACACAAGATTACGTACAACAAACAGGTCAGCCGTTCAGTTAGAAATACTTGCTTCAAATGAGAAATACAAGCAAATGGTTAAATGAAACAATCCTCCACGACCACCCCAGTAAACGCAATAAAACGCGACAATATTCCCTGAAGCTGTAAGTGGCACCCAAAGATTTGAGAACCCGCTCCCAAACATGTGCCTTGGTTACAACTGATGTGGCGCAGGGAAACCAGCACCATTTTGTATGCAAAAAGCTGCTTTAACACCAAGCCTCCTGCAGGCATCATCATGACAATTAAAACCCTGGAGCTCGTGTTTTCCAACCCAAATTAAAGCTAGTTCTCCCCTTGCACAAGCGACTACATTCAACACAGAGTGCTCTGTGCAGTTTCTTTTTCTAGAATTAAAGCGTGTTTGTGCGTGTGTGCACCTATGCACACGTATCTATGCTGTGGGGAGAGGGGAGGTGATGCCTATAGGAGATTTGATGACATAAGTTGCAAATAGAATTGCAGCAGTGTGACAAGTCAAATAATAGCATCTTATGCATGTTTCTTTACTCTTGAGTGTCTGTTTTGCAATCAAGACATACAAGTGTCTGCCAGTTTCTGAAGGATATGATCCTTAAGTGAAATTACTGTGCAAATAAAAGCTTTTTACTCCTATTAAAATTCATCTGAGTCATAAGTGGCAAGGAAAAAAAGCTTGCAGAGTGTATTCTGCTGTCAATCTAATAAACATTCTGTGCAGAGGGACTATTTATCAAAGATAAATTGTACTTAAAAGTCCTTCATTAAATCTATGGGGGGGAATATAATTACACCAAATTGCACAGTTTCAGTATCCATGGTTAGTGTCTTCTTTGTACTCAGAGTTTGAAAATAAAAGAAAAAAAAAAAAAAGAAAAAAGGAAGAACATAGAAATAAGTTAGATTTGTGGACTGTGTTGTTGCCTCTTGCAAGAGACTATTTTGATATGATTTCAAAGGATTGGATTTAGATGCCATTTTGTTTTTTAAGCCACATATAACACTTCCGAGCTGCCCAATTTCAAAATTTCAACTTGAATTGAAAGCTAGACCTTCTGCATTCATCTAGGTTACAGTATTTCACAGGGGCTGAAATACATATTTGCTTATGTGCTCCACAACGTACAGCAGTGGGAGAAAAATCATGTTACTCAGTATGCTGCACTTTAAAGCTCAGTTCTCCACATCAAGTTAAAATATCCCTACTAAACATTGTTTTTACTATCTTTATAATTTTCATATCTTTTAGATTCCTTTCTCTGCAGGACTCCTGCTTTGCTTGGAGTGAGATGTAAGAGTCAGTACACTCAAAGCTTTAAAATGCAGGTCTTTGTTACTGATGAGCTGTTCCTTTTCCTTTTGTATTTGTTTATTGTTCTTTAGTCTGTTTGGGGGATAAGCAAGTTACTGTAATCAAAAAGTAAAAAATAACAACAGTAAACTTCTGGGGAAAGGCCTTTTTTGGTACAGTCAGTTCACAAATAACCTTTCAGAATAGAAAAAGTCAAAGACGCAAAGAAATGTTCCTTCTTTAAAAGACTACCTTTGATGTATTTCTGCTGCTGGCTGGACCCCACTAAATACCCGCCTAAGTGTCCCTTTGTAACGCTCTTTCTTATCTCTCGGTAGGAGCTGTGCAGGGGCCTGCTCACCTAACTGAGGTGCAGCAGACTCTGGAAGACCACGTCAAATAACACCTGCCCGTGCTGCTACAACAAAGACAATTAAGAATAGACCACATTTTTTCATTACATGATTAACACTGCGGCTGTGCCTTTGATTTCGTGAGGACAACGCTGAACGTACAACGCAGAAGTTTTGATATCCTACCAAGGAGTGTGAACAAAGTTCAGGTATTCTTCCTTTTATCCTCAGGAGAAGATGGAAGAAAGAAGGGGTGTAAATATGGGAAGGCTGTAAAGTCTGAGTTATAAATAGAGACCAGAAGGTTTCCACTGGCCTAAACCAGAAGAAACATCTGTTGGAGTCATAAATGGATTGTGGGTGGACTCTCAGAGCAAGGAAATCTGCTAGCCATCAGATCTGTTCTGATGAGTAGTTGTCACCAGCCACTACTTCACTCCGCAGGGTTTCAGAGCCTAATTCTGCCAGCCAAGTCAATAAAGAGGTACCCAAAAGGAGCCACACAGCTTTTGATGGCCTAGAAAACAGGTGTTTCTTTTCCATGAGATGGTTGGAGTCCACAATCAGTTGACAAAAATTATAGTAGGGAACAGTGATGTTACTTAATAGTTTTCTAAGGGTAACAGTATCCTGTCCTACCTCTCCCACTAAATGAACTGGATGTTTATGTAATGCAAAACTACCTCTTACAACCAAATCTCTGTGACCAAAAAAAAAAAAAAAGAAAACAAAAAGGTGTAATAATAGTAGTGCAAAGGAGTAAGGGAGGGGAAAGAAAGCAAATAGAGTGAAAATTATACCTTGGGTTTTGTGGAGGATTTTGTAGATGTATACTATACTGATCCCTCAAGTTAGTAGACCAGCTGCCACAAAAAAGGTGGCCAAGGCACATCTGACACCATCTTTGCTTAAAATAAAGTTCTGCAGTTTGCAAAGATATGGTTCCCTTGCTGTGTAAATCTTCAAGTAAAATGCTCAAAATCGCACTCTGTTACATCTCACATTAGTTTATTAAATATCATCTTCCCTGTACACCTGAAGCTCACGTCCCCAGAAGCTGTAAATGTTCAAACTCCACTGGAGATTTTATAGAGCAATCTAATGTATCGCTACCCAGATGTTACTTGCAGCAGTGTTTGGACTGCTGACCAGATGTGGATTTTCAGTATGCTTTACCTAAATGTTCAACCATGTTTTTCAAGTGTCTGTCATTCTTGTGGTCAGAAGGGTGAAAGTCTTATGTAGCTCAGATTTCAGTAGAGAAACTGTCTGCTGTGCGTCTTCATTACTGTGACTAACCTTACAGTCTCATTTTTGGAATCAGTGAAATTTATTAACTGTGGTCCCATAATTTCCCTTTAACATTCTTACGCCGCGTCCTGCCTCAAGTCACTTAACTGTTGGCACCTGCGGTTTGAGCATGACAGATCCACAAGTAGTATGTTATTCAGCATCTATTCAAAGCAATACTAAGCAACGTTCCAGTGCTGAACACAATGAGCACACTGCCTTTTTTTTATTAACCATTATACATTTTAACACCGTGGCCATACTCGTGCTTAGATTTCCACCACGGCATCTAAACAGGAAAATTATGTATTTGCTCCATATAACTTGGAAGTGTCAGGCACCACCTTCCTTCAGAGTCAAGGGTTTCTTACTCAACAAGGAGATAAATGACATTTTGCAAATCACAGCATCTTTTTTCCCAGCTCTGCGTTCTAAAGATAATTTACTTCCACAGGGTGGTGGTGAGGACTGGCATTAACACCTGCACAAAATAACGGCACTTTTAGTCTAACAGAGGAGGAAACACTCAACATGCTACGGAGACAGTTAAAAAAAAAAAAAAAAAAAACAAAGGCAAAACCAAAACAGCCACAAAAAATTATGAGCCTTTAGTAGCAGCAAAAGGGAAAGGAGGAAAAAAAAAAAAATAGAGAAGCCTCACCACCAGATAGTACACACTCCGGCAGCAGAAGCTTAATTAGAATTGTAATTCGGCCACAA